TGATACAGATGCACACTCACTTGAAAACCTATGTCATGAAAAAGGCACAATGTGAAACTTAATGAAACAAATGCCTAAAGCTCAAAATCACATTTTATCAAAAACTCATGCCCACAGCTCATCCACAATGCTTGTCATGCTCACAGCTGATCGAAAGCACTGCATGCAAGCGGTGTCATGCAGCTCATGCCCACAGCTCATCTAAGTCACTGCATTTGTGCGGCTTCATGCAGCTCATGCCCGCAGCAGTGTGTCAGGTTTGGGCTTTTAGGGTTTAGGGGTTATTTTCAAGGATTTATATAAGGTTTAGGGATTTAGGGTTTAGGGTTTAGCTACAAGGGTTTCAGGTTTAGGGTTTTAGGGTTTTAGGGTTTTAATTGGTTAGAAGGGTTTAAGGTTTAGGGTTTTGGGGTTTAGGGTTTAGTTCGAAGGGTTTAAGGTTTAGGGTTTTAGGGTGTAGGGTTTATTTCGAAGGGTTTAAGGTTTAGGGTTTTAGGGTTTAGGGTTAAGTTAAAAGGGTTTAATTAAGGTTTAAGGTTGAGGGTCTAGGGTGTAGTTAAAGGGTTTAGGGATAAGGGCAGTATGGGGTTTGGAGTTTTGGCATTAACTACTTGGAGGATCATGGGACTTAGTAAGTAAGGTTATAAGTACCCTAACTGGGGTTATAAGTATAGTTAATTACCCTAATTATAACCCTAGTTAATTACTAAGTCCCATGATCCTTTAAGTAAGGGCCCAACCCTCCCCATGTGTTTCGCTGCTCTCATGCGAAGATCAGAAAGCCATCCCCTCATCGCACCCATGAAAAATGCCATGCTGCTTCATGCATTGATTACTTACTCATGCGGCGCTATGCCGAGCTTAACCTGATCCTAAACCCTAAACCTTAATTAAACCCCAAACAAACCCAAAGACTAATCTTATCCCTAACTGAACTAATTAATGCAGCTCATGGCTGGCGTCATGGGTGCTTTTAAAAAAGCCCATCTCCTCATGGGATCTACAGCCTTATGGCTCATATACGAGCCCATCTCCTCATGGACTCATGGCCGGGCTGAGGGCTCATGCCTCCGCCTCAATGGGCATGAAATGCCCATGGAAGGACCGCATGATCGCTTTGGGCTCTGGCCCATGGGTCTCAACCCATGCTCTGAATTTGGCCGGCTCATGCTGGGAACGGCCCATGCCGTGCCAGCTTTTGATCAGCCAATGCTTGCCTCGGCTGAATCTTATTACTAGCTAACTAATAAAAAACCAGAACTTATTTCTCAATAATCTATTAACCGTAACAAATTATGGAAAATTGATACTTAAATTATTCCCTGAGCTGCCTCTCATGTCGCCCCACACAGTCTCCCATGATGCCAGCTCAAAGATCTCCGTCCTGAAAGGGGGGGGTTAATTGGGCCTTATGGGGTTTGGGCTCTAATTACTCTCAATTATGAAGGCTGTCCTCATGGCGGACTCCATGTTCTGCGTCACCTCGCTCATGACCATGTGCTTATCGCTGATCACATCATTGCGAGGATCATACAGCCTGGGTTTAGGGCTTAGGGTTTAATTATGTTAATTAAAGTAGGGGTTAAGTAGGGTTTACTTAGGAGGGTTTAATTAACCCTAATTAAACCTTAAACCCTAAACCCTAATCTAAAAAAACGAACTACTGCAGCATCCAGACTCATCGCTGTCATACTCATGGGTCCGGAACAATGCCAGGCTCACCTGCAGGGTTTAGGGTTTAGGGATAATTAGTTATGGTTGTGGGGTTAGGGTTTACAGGGGTTAGGGGGTTTTGTTTAGGGGTTTTTAGGGTTTCGGCAGGGGCCTCGACCCATGCCACCGTGCAAATGATGGGCCAATGGCGATGCAGCATGGGGTGGCTCATGACGATGTCGTACTCCTCATGCACGAACTCAAACCCCAAGCACTCCTAAACCCAATCCTAATTGCACCCTAAACCCTAATTAATTACTTATTATTTAAAAAACACTAATACCAGGCGAGGAGCATAGAGCATCCATGTGTGGAGGAGCTCATCTCTCATCCACTGATCGCAGCGCCATTCCCTCATGTATGGGCTTCAGAGCTTAAAATATGTAATTTACATTCTTATTATGACTAATTAATTACTACTGACGGTCCGAGCCACTGCCAATTGACCAAAACCCATGATCGCCCCGCCATGAGCCTGGTGGCAACATGGCGGAGGCGATCGCGGAAACTGCCATGGACTTCGTCCTTGGCTCAAGACAAATGTAATTAAACCTGTAATACCTCATTAACTAAATAATTTAAAACACAAAAGATGCTTACTTATCCGGCCCATGACGGCTCGCCGCTCCATGTTATGGAGCAACCCATGGATCTGACTCATCAGCTGGCCCATCCTCGGCTCCAAATAACTAATGAATTACTAATGACCCAATCCTAAGTAATTAACCAAGTAATTACTCACAATTGCCAATCATGCCCCAGTCTCTCATCCATGGTTCCCATGGTTCCCTCGTTGCCGCTCATGTTGGAGCTCATGGCCAATGGGTGGGGATGCGGCGCTTATGCGGGCACTCTTGAGCTGATGGCAAGCTCATGGCCGGCCACATTTGAACCCCCAAACCCCTCAACCCCCTCAAGTCCTTGAACCCCTTCAAACCCCCAACCCCCTATTGTAATAATACTATACTACTGTACTGCTTCTATAGAAGCAGTACAGTAGTATAGTATTATTACAATAGTACTAGACTTCAATACTACTACTAAACTACTGTTCTACTATTATACTACTGTAATACTACTACTGTACTACTGTACTACTGTACTACTGTACTACTGTACTACTGTACTACTGTACTACTGTACTACTACTTAATCGGGGGGGGGCCGGTAAAAACTTGAACCCATGAACAAGTTCAAGCGGGCCAACCTTGGGGGGGGGGGTTTGTTAATCGGTATCCAACATTACCCCAATACGCCACATAAATAAAAGGTTTAACCTTCCGGTTCCTACTAAACTACAAGAACCCAGAAAGTTTAAAGGTTGGCTATCGGGGATCTAAGAATCTTTGTCCGTGCCTGCTTGCAAAAGCCGCCTGGCTACTTCGACCTCGCCCTTCTCCGCTGTATCCAGAAGCTCCCATGCAGAGTCCTAGTTCATGGTTGGGATAGGGTTTAGGGTTTAGGGGTTTAGGGTTCAGGGTTGGGATAGGATTAAAGATTAAATTTGTATTCCTTATTATTGGGTTTAAGTACCCATAAAAATGTAAAAGTTACTCAACTACGACGAAGAGTCCTCTGGAGAGAGGGATAGCAGGACCAGCTGCAGATCCATAGGTGCATGCAGCTCAGCCGCATCACTCAACTTGCTGCCCTCATGCAGGAGCTCCATCAGAGAGACAGGAAAGCTGTGCTCCGCTCGCAGGCGATGCTTCAAGGCCCCTACGTCGCTCAGCGCAGCCTCTGGTATGCAAGCCAGCTCTTCGCCGGAAACTTTCCAGACTCGGAGCATCGACCCGAAACTTTTAGCTTAGGGCTTATCTGGACTCGATAACACCTACGTTTGGAGGCTTCCCTACTATTATACTTGCATAAGCTCTTGAAAAAGGTAGGTTGCTTGGGATTAAGGTGGGGTCTAGGGCGTCGAATTGACCCTGCAAGGCCAGAATATAATAATAATAATAACAATAACAATAACAATAACAATAATAATAATAATAATAATAATAATAATAATAATATAATAATATAATAATAATAATAATAATAAGCCTCAGTGGGCCTGGGGTTGTTCAAGCAGGGATTGCAGGGCTTCTGAGTACGGAAGATGGCAGGTTCCCGGCAGTTTCAGACGAATTAAGTTGGTTTGGGGATTAGGGTTTAGGGCATCTCTGCATCGCGAAAATGGGGATAGGAGGCAGTTGCTATTCAGCTTTCTTCAGCTTGCTATCGTGTGTCCGATACAATCGAAGCTCTCTCGTTCAGGGCTTCAAAGCTAGTGGGAAACCAATAATCATAAGAGCCGCTAGGCTCTGGCCCGTGAAACTCTGCGCTCTACTACCTCTACATTTTCTCCATTGTAGTTCCTTTTTTGGGTTCCTTCTAGGGTCCTAAATATAAAACTTGGTTAAGCCAAAAAGCAGTGGAGACTATAGGTAGTACCTGCACCTCACACCCAGACACCTCGCTTGAGCCTGTCAAGGCGGCTTTGGCCTCCGACGCATACAGTATGCGTTTTTTTCGGTTGCTTCCGAAAATTAGGGTACCTTATATTGGGGTCCCTTATAATAAGGATCCTACTATACTATATTAGGGTCCCCTATTTTCTGAAACTGCCCTTCGAGTGTATAGGGTACCCTGAACCCTAAACCCTAAACTGCCCTAAACCCTAAACCCTAAACCCCAAGCCCTAACCCCAAACTGCCCTAAACCCTAAACCCTTGTAAACCTAAACCCTAAACCCCAAGCCCTAAACCCTAAACCGTGATTCAGGTTCGGGGCTAGGAGCATTTTCTGGAAACACCCCAGGATCTTCCTTTAAGCGAATACCCCTCTAAAACCCCAAAAGATCCTAAGTAACTATATGGGGGGGTTAGGGTTGAGGGTTTAGGGTTTAGGGTTGAGGGTTTAGGGTTTAGAGTTGAGGGTTTAGGATTTCGGGTTTAGGGTTTAGGGTTTCAGGTTTCGGGGGGATACTTACGCAGACCATTCTACTAGTAACTAGTACTTTCCTGCTATGGAAACCCTGCTTTTCTGCTATTTATGTAATTACTTAGGACCCTGAACCCCAAACCCTCGTTCCACCCGCAAAGACACCGTTATAGCAAGCCTAAAGGTAGGTACCTGGATCCCCCACATATAGTATCCCCATGAGATCTTAAAAGATCCCTTGAAGTAATCCTTAAAGTACCCTTCGTAAAGGGACCCCTACCGGTACTCAGGACCCTTCGGAAAAGCACTGGGATTTACGTCACGAACGAAAGGGCCGCCAAGCTCTGCGAGAAAGGCGCATCTTCGTAGGCCATGTCATATGCCTCCATTGGGTTCCTCTAAGGGCTCTTGTAGCTTCAGATTGCGAGTGATTCAAACACAGAGAGCCCGATACCCCTTAATTAAGGAATATAGCTTAAATCAAAGCATACTATGAATCCCGGAGAAGTTTAAGCCATATTCCGTAATCAAGGGGTATTGCTCTTTGGGTGCCTGCTTGGAGGTTCAGGGGGGTAACTTGATTTAGGGTACTTATAACTCTACTCACAAATCTACTTACTGTGTCCCCTTGGGCCTCTAAGTATGCCTGCCGCCACCGGGCTTCAGGTGTCGAGGGGTTCGGATTTCAGAATGTTTACGGCTTCTAGGAATTTGGGTTTGCATAAACCCCAGCCTGACAAAATCCTAAACCCCGAAGCCCTAAGTATTCCCTGAGCCCGAACCAAAACCAAAGCCCCCACTGAATCATATACGCCTGAGCACAGATTCGGAGAGGCACAGAAAGTTGCAGGGGCAGCCGCATGAAGTTAGGGTTTAGGGCTCGGGGTTTTGGATGAAGGAAGAGGCTTAGAGACACAGCATCGGGATCAACAACTCAACCCTTGCCCACAACTATGAATCTTATGAAAAGAGCCCGCGGAACCCTAAACCCTAAAACCGTAAACCCTGCACGCATTAATAATAATAATAATAGTAGTAGTAATAATAACAATAGTAATAATAATAACACTAATAATAGTAATAGTAATGATAATAATAAAGCTCCCTGAGCCGCAGGCCTTGGGGGTGCGAACCATCGTCTTCACTCTCTCGCCTGCCCAACTGGCATCCATGATGATGTAGGCCGCAAACCTGGGGAGGTCCATGCAGCAACACCTTTAGGGTTTGGGGGTTGAGGGTTTAGGGTTTGGGGGTTTAGGGTTTAAGGGTTTAGGGGTTTAGGGTACATCTTGGGTTTAAGACTTGGGGTTTAGGGCTTCGGGCGCCCGTAATACTGTCAGAGTGTACTCCAGAGTTATTTTAAGGTCTAGGGTCTACACTAATCATGAATGTTGAAGTGCCTCCACTCACGCAGCAACACCTGATAAAATATCAGTGTTATACGCCAGAGCCAGTACTGGTTCTTAATGCTCCAAGGCTTGTGCCGGCGGCTTTGGGCGGGTTTACAGGGCTTCGAAGCTCTTAAACGGCGTACGACGTACAGTGCCTAATTATTCTTGTATCAGGGGTTTGGGTTCTGGGTGTTTGTAAAAGCCAGGGTTTAGGTTTCGTGTTGAGGGATACCTCGTTGGTTTTAGGGCTTAGGACTTTCGGGTTTGGGCTCCAGGGCGCAACATAGATCCGCGATGATTACGTGCTCCTGTCTTTAGGGGTTTTGGTAGGATCCTGATCAGAATATAGGGCTTGCAGGGTATAGGGCTTAATCTCTTCAACTATGACGTTGGGGTGTCAACACCCAACCCTGACTCCCAAATTCTCAAACACAAAACCCAAATCCCGAAACGCGACCTGCACCCCTGGATCCCACCAAATCCTAGACCCCAGATCCTAAAGCCCGAGAAGCACAGAAAATGCTCGAACCCCAAATCCCACTAAATCCCGGGCTTAGGGTTTTGTAACCTAAGCCAAATCAAATCCAAACTTGGTGGCTTGTTCATGCCGAGCATGTGGGCGATCTTCTGGACCAAATTAGGCTCAGCCACCTCATCCGCCTGCTGGATTTGCGGGTTTCTTCAGGCTCCCTTAAAGGGGTCCACATAGGGAGGGGTTTGGGGCTTAGAGGGTTTAGGGTTTAGCCCCAGTGAAGCGAGCTTCAAAGCACCAGATTCCAAAGGCGTGACGGTGTTTCTGGCTTTGGGGTGATTAGGGTGGTGGATTCCTTGGTTGAAACTCAGATATAGAAGTTGGGGCCTAGGACTTTCCAGCACCCCCCAAGTGCCCCTTGATAGAGACCTTATGGCCCTTAATAATGGGTATTGAGGGTATATTAGAGGCTAGTTGGGCCCTAGGACTTCAGGTTTCAGCTTCAGCTGGATTTCGGGGTTAGCGGCTCACAGCTAGCCGGGTCTCATAGCCTGTCGCCCTCTACAACGATGCACAGGCCGTGAAGAAGGGAGAGCCCAGGCTTTGAAAGCCTTTGAGACATACTACTTTTGATGATATAAATCCTGCATTACCTGAAGGAGCCTAAACTTAAACTATGGGACTTATGGTATCTTACTTGTTGTGGATCATGCAGGATCTATATCATAGACCGTAGTAGGTAAGATCTTCTTAAGCCCAATAAGAGCAAATATAAAATGTCCCAAAGCCCTAGCTAGTCATTGAATCTTCGAGACTTTCATACCATCTGCTCGTGCCATCGCTTGACCACTTCAAGATTGCAAAGCAAATGCAGGCGCTTTGTTTCGAAACGATGCCGCTGATGTTAACCAGGAAGCCCCGTCACCTAGGAATTAAAAGGCCCCCTTTTTGGCATTGGGTAACTTTCTAAGGAACCTACAGGACTACAAAAAGGGAATAAGGGTACTTCTGGGCATCCTAGCTAAAAAGTGCCGGGCTCTCGGCCTGAGCTGCCTTCCATCAGTACTAAAAAAATTAGCTGCTGAGTTCAAAAGGCCCCAAAAGTGTACATTTTCAGTTTAGGGTTTAGGGTTTAGGGTTTTATAGTGGGTCTTATTATTCCAAAATTAAAAAGGGTACAGTGTATCCACCCAGCTGCAAAGACAGACCAGAACGTTAGCAGGATGAAAAGCTCAGGGACGAGTGAACTATGAAGCCTGAAGGGTTTAGAAAACTTACTACCCCAATAAGCAACAGAAACAAAAGGTTAAACTTTCAGATTGCTACTAATTAAACTAGAAGAGCCCAACAAGTTTCAAGGTAGGGCATTGGAGATCTGAGAGCATCAAGCCCGCGGCTTTTTCGTGCAGGCGGGCTCCCTTCTTGGTATTGGGTAACTGTATAAGGAACCGAGGACTACAAAAAGGGAACAAGGGTACTGTACTATATTGGGCCTCCTGGCAGGTTCTACAAGAATTCCGCGACAGGGGATTTCGACCCGTAGCCCTTAAAAATCGAGGGTCCCTAAACCCTAAACTCTAAACCCTGAACCCCTGAACCCTAAACCCCTAAACCCTAAACCCTATTCCAAACAGTTGACCGGGCCAATGTTGCCGAAGCTGGGGATGGGCAGGTGGAACAGCACCAACAACTCCCGGCAGATACTGCGGCTAGGCCGGTGGAGCCGCGGCTAAACCCTTCTCCATTGTAGTTCCTTTTTGGGGTTACCTTATAGGATCCAACTTATATACTTGGTTTAAGTTAAACCAAAAAAAGGAACTACAATGGAGAGTAGAGGTAAACCCTAACGAAACCTTGAAAAACCGATATCTGAGTCATCATCTGGTAGCAACACCCCCCCCCCCCCCCCCACGCCAGAACACTCAAAACGATCGCCCAGCCTTCTGGGGGAAGCAATGCTTGAAGACACCTCTGCCGTGCGGTTTCGGGTGTAGGGTTCAAGGGTTTAAGGTGTATTGGGTTCAGGGTACACTGAAACATGCCAGTGGAAACGGGGCTCGTTGTAGGGCAATATGTACAGGATCCAGACTGATAATACTAAGGCCCCAAAAATAGTTCGTGTTTGAAGTTCATGTCATCTATCGAATCCTATATGGTAATTCCAAAAAGGAACTACATTGGGGCCTATGGGTAGTCAGGGCCCCTAAACCCCAAACCCTAACTGCTTGGCACCGTCCTATTGGAACAAGGATCGGCCTCCACTCCACAGCGTAACGTCTTCGCGAAAGCACGCGGAGAAGAACAAAGCCCGTTAAGGACGATACCTTGTTCATATTGCGGATCCTAGTATCAACTTAAGGTACACTCCTTGATTGAGGGATGTTGGCATGTCTAGGTCTAGGTCTAGGTCCGTCGCTACAACTGCAGGCGCACGACAAAAGGCTGAGGACCACTTCAGACTTCGATCAAGAATTGAAAGTTTGATTGCTGGTCCATTTCCAAACACCCTAGAATGCAAATTCCCGCTTAACAGAACCGTTGATTTAGCTTGATACGGGGTAAATAAAAACTGACACAAACTGTGAAACTCAAGTGAGGCATACTAATGCCTTGAAAGGCAGCGCAACTTCGATGAAAGGTGAAAGCTTCTCTCTTCTCCGCCCCACTGTGAGTAACTAGGGGCCTCAACAAAAATCGAATGGGGTTTCGAGGCGAAGTGGTATAGACTTTAGAAGCTGCCCCCACCCTGTAATAGTGACTATAAGGATTATATTAGGGCCCCATTATATTTCTATTATACCACTATTACAGGGTGGGGGCCCGTTCTAAAGTATAGACTAATTGTAGTAAGGAACCCTAAGGAATGATGTTGGCATGCCTTTCAGGTGCCGATCTGACAAGGCGTCAGAGACTGCCCAAGACTTCAGAGAACAAAGAGGTTTCGGACCCTCCCAGAGACTCCAATATCCCTTAACTAAGGAATATTCCTTAAATCATATTAAGGATCCTACGATAGTTTAAGGTATATTCCTTAGTTTAGGGGTATTGGGGTCTCTAGGACCCTCCAGCGGATACTGCTTGTTTCCTCAAACTCTAAAACCACAAACCCCCAAACCCTGCAGTGGGACTAGCTTCGAAGCTTCCTCTCTTCAAGACCCTAAGCCCTATAAGCTCTAAATGGAACCGTAGACCATCCTCTAAACGACAAGTCAGAAATTTACAGAACTTTCTAGAGGCTTCGGGTAAGAGGGGTTTACGGTTTGGAGTTAGGTTTATGGGCTTTGCACAAGCCTGAATCCTGATTGTAGATAGTTGTACACACATACATAAACATCTGTACACAACCGCTACAACCCTACGTATGAACTATATGAACTCTGTGTGCGCCGGACATATGCACCCCTGACCTTAAAACATTAGTAGCCCTTCGAAGCCGTAAATCCTTACGTAAAGAGTAGAGCAACAGACCCTGCACCCTCTCAATCCGAACCCTAACACCTAGACCCTCTACCCCGAAGGTTAAAACCCAAAAACATCCCTGACAAGATCCCTTCATCCCTTAAAGGAGCCCGTTTAATTAGGACTTGGAGGACCCTTTAAAGGAACCACGGAGGGTTCGGAAAGGAGCCTTCAAAGCATATTGGCGGCGCCATTTGTGCACTGCGGTACACTTGGCCGATGCTTGAAAGCTGCGGGCAGAGTTCAGGTGTTTACCTTAAGCCGGAATAACCTACCTTTTTAGGGTTCCGTATTATGATGTCCTTATATAAGCCCTTAAGAATTGTAGGTTATTCAGGCTTGAGGTAGGGTTTAGGATATCGGGTTTAGGGTTTAAGGTGTTCAGGGTATAGGGCTCAAGAAGTTTAGAGAGTCTATGTTGCTGAGTTTAAGGTTTAGGTTTTGGGGTTTTGGGGACCCTACGTATGAACTATATGAACTCTGTGTGCGCCGGACATATGCATCCCTGACCTTAAAACATTAGTAGCCCTTCGAAGCCGTAAAATCCTTACGTAAAGAGTGCATGAGGCTGTTATACAGCGCTGACGTGTTGCTATCAGGAATTTTGTCACGGTGTTCTCCGCTTTGGGAACCAGGAGGCCCTAGGTTTAAACATGGAGATCTCTGAACTGAACTAGACCCGGAACCCAGACCCCCGGGAGGATCTAGAAAGTAGATCCCCTAATTTGGGGCCCTATACTACTAAGGGTACTTTATAGGAACCCCCATTAAGGGATCTACTTTTTGGATCCTCCCGGGGGTCTGGGAACCCTGCACCCTAAACCCTGAACAGAAAACCCCAACACCCTCAACACTTCAACCCGGACCGCAAGCGAAGCAGGCATTGTAGCTACACTATGAAAGAGCCCCAAAACCCCATTCTACTCAGTACCTAGAGACTCCAATATCCCTTAATTCAGGAATATTCCTTAAATCATAATAAGGAAGGATCCTACTATATTTTAAAGTGTATATATATATATATATATGTATGGAGTCTCTAGGTAAGGGCGCTATGGTACACCGGGAGCCCTTCAACCCGTCAACCCGAAAGTTGGCGAAAGCCTTCGCTGGATTTGGAGTTGGGAATTTCCGAAGATTAGGGGTACCTTGTTTTGGGGTCCTTATAATAAGGATCCTACTCTTTAGGTCACTATATTAGGGTCATTTGGATTTAGGGTTTAGGGCTTAGGGGCCTTATCTTACTACCCCAATAAGCCACAGAAATGAAAGGTTAAACTTTTCCGATACCTACGAACTACAAGAACCCAAAACTTACTCCCCCAATTAGCCAACGAAATAAAAGGTTAAGCTTTCCGATTCCTGCTAAACATAAGAACCCAAAAAGTTTAAAGGTTGGGTATTGGGGATCTAAGAAACAGTTTAAAGGTTGGCTGTTGGGGATCAAAGTTATTATGTCGTGCGATGTGGCGAGGGCTCTTGGACACAGGGCTTCGCAGCAGGAGGGTTTTCGACATGAGCCCTACAGCTCAGGATCGTCTCGTCTGAAATTGGAGGGCGATCTGTCAAACATTCGTCCCTACGATACATCCTAAGCCCAAGACCCCAACGCCTGAACCGCGTTTTAGATTTTAGATCGGGGAACTGAGGAAAAAGGGTATGAACTCAGCCAAAGCAATGGGGCTATGAGTTCAGCAATGAACTGAGTAGCTGGCTTATGCGCAGCCTCTTGAACGGGATAACACACCTAAACGAACGGTAACCGAACGCTTGATCAGAGATCAATCAATCAATCTATCTATCTATATATGTGTGTATATACAAATGTATATGGACCACTTACTACGTTGTGCAAGCCTTCAAGCTATCACTGTCGAGTATCTTGTTTGGCGCTGTACAAATAAATACCTAAACCCCTACGCACCCCCCTCCCCCCAACAAAAGAAAAGCAAACTATATAAGGGCCTTCGGGTATATAACGTTTAGGGCAACAAGAACCCCCAAAATAAACGAACCCCAAACGAAACTCTAAACCCCTGAACCCTAAACCCTAAACCTGTAAACCTAAACCCTGAACCCCTAAACCCTAAACCCCTTAATTCAACTCTAAACCCCTGACAGGGTCCTTACGCGCCCGGGGCGGCTGCCCTTTGCCTGCGCCGGCTCCGCCGGAGCCCTGGTCGATGGCTTGGGCTCTGTTCAGGAAACGGTTAGGGTTTTCTATACGGGGTACCTTTTTTAGGGTTCTTATATATAATAAGGATCCTAGACAGTAGGATCTGGGGGTCCTTATATATCATATGGATCCTGTTGTTTAGGGTACTATAATACTTGGAGGGGCAAGGGACTTAGTAAGGGCTCTTAAAGGGCTCCTTAAAGGGATCTCTGGGGTTTAGGGTTCAGGGTCTACTTGGAAGGGCGGGAGACTTAGTAAGTCGTTTATAAGTAGGGTTATAATTGGGGTAACTCCATTTAGAGTACTTATAACTCTACATATAACCTACTTACTAAGTCCCCTGCCCCTCCAAGTAGGGTTTACTATACCCCCTCCTTAGAACCATAATAATAACTGCATGTTTACTATACCCCCTTTAGAACTATAATAAACAGTATGTGGTGAATATTCTCTTGGGCTTGATATGGACAGAAACCGTTCCTAAGGAGACTGTAGCTTAGGATTGCTGGGTTTAGGGTTTAGGGGTCCAGGGTTCAGAAGGGAACCCTATGATACGGCTTCTAGGATACCCAGTAACCTAAGAATAAAAAGGCCTCTCTTTTTGGTGTTGGGTAACTCTATAAGGAACCTAGGACTACAAAAAGGGAATAAGGGTACTACTGGGCATCCTAGGCTTCTATTCGACTGACGGTCTTGGTGCTGGGTTTCTGGTTTCGCGGTCTCTGCCATGTCTGTCTCGGCTTTGATGGCCATGTGCTAAGAAGAGCGCAAGGGTCAGAAGGTGTAGAGAGAAAGGTTACCTGAAGGGTCCAAAGGACCCAATAATTAGATACCCGGTTTTAGGAGAGTATTTATGAAGGTTAGGATTTTGGAGAGTGTATGATTATTGGGTACTTGGACCCTTGGGGTTAGGGTTGAGCACTCACCGTAAAGCAGGATCCTGTAATGGTACCTCGCAACGCACGATGGGCTGTTAAACTGCATTGAACCTTCAACCCTCAACTCTCAATCCTAAGCCAAACCCTAAACCCTAAACCCTAAACCCCCCTAAACCCTCAATCCTGAGCCAGAGCACTAAAAGCAGCCTCAACCCGCAACTAAAGCCTGCACGGAACCCGAAACTCTACCTGGAGGCTCATCCCTACCCCTTTGTTAGGGTTATATAGATATATATATATATATACAACAAATCCTAAGCATAAAACTAGGTATCCTAAAAAGGGGTAGGGTATGAGCCTCTAGGTCTAGGTAGTATCTAAACCCGTGCCCGTATGATTTACCCATAGGCCCCATAGGGGTTCATGATCAGAACCCTATGTGAGGTAATCCCAAGAAGGAACTAGGATTGCGCCAACAAGCCGCCCCGTTAACCCCGAAATAATAGGATTCATATAAAGAGCCCTAATAAAGGCCCAAGGTTTCTTAATCAGGTTCCTACATTACTATAGTACCCTTATGGTAACTCTTCTAGACCCCTTTAAAGGAACCCCTAGGCCCAAGGTTTCTTAATCAGGTTCATTAAATCAACAAAGCAGCCCACTGCCTTCCCACTCGAGGCTCCTGAGGCAGCTGGTTTAGGGTTTAGGGTTTAGGGTGTTCTAGGGTTTAGGGTTTAGGGTTTAGGGTGTTCTAGGGTTTAGGGTTTAGGGTTTAGGGTGTTCTAGGGTTTAGGGTGTTGCTTTCAGGGCCTTTTTGAGTCCGCATGACAGAATCTGACAGGGTTTAGGGTTCAGGGTTTCAGGGGTTAGGGTTCAGGGTGTAGGGTTCAGGGTTTCAGGGGTTAGGGTTCAGGGTGTAGGGTTCAGGGTTTAGGGTTCAGGGTTTCGGGTTTCGGGTTCAGGGCTTTAGAGTTCAGGGTTTGGTGCTTAAGACATAAAGCCCCTCAGCGCTACATCACTACGACCCACAAGCCTGACCCTAGCTTGGATTACCAAAACCAACCTTTTTTTTGTTGGCAGGGACCGTATACATTCCATTTTCTGGTATCCAACAAGACCCTACAAGCAAGTAGGTTATGGTAGTCTAAGGTAGAGCCTGAGCTCCCTAGCCCAGACCTTCCGAAATCCTCTAAGGGGTTAAGGTTTAGGAAGGAATATACCTCAAATCAGAATCTGGATCCTACTACAACTTACGGTAGATCACACAATTAAGGGATATCGGAAGGTCTAGGAGAAACCCCGTCGTCTCGTAGTGTGACAATACAGCCTGCGAAAGAGGAATTTCTGGCAGGTTCAGGGGATTGGGTGAGTACGCTGCAGCGGGGGTCCATACTTGAAGCCAAGTTACCAAATCCCCAGAACCCTAACCTATACTGAACTTGGAACCCTGGCAAAAAAATATATTTTTGGCTTTGTCTTAGGGATTATAATAACCAAGAATTAAAGGCTATTTCTAAGTATCCCTAAGAGAACCCTAACCCCTAAACCCCTACGCCCTAAAAGCATCGCATCCGATAATGCCATTTTCAAGCTCCCAAACGCATGGAAACCCATCCGAAGACCTGCAAGGTCAGGATCCTCAGCCTCTGCCCTCCAGCGGGTTTAGGGTTTAGGGTTTAAGGTTTAGGGTTTAGGGTTTAGGGTTTAAGGTTTAGGGTTTAGGGTTTAGGGTTTAAGGTTTAGGGTTTGGGGTTTAGGGCCTCAACCCTTTCAAGACCCAGTTGTACAGCTTGTCGCCACAGCTTCGTACTTCGGTTGATGATACAAATCTTGCATTACCCATAATAAGGAATATACCATAATTCTCATAGTTTAGGGTCCATAAGGTAATACAGGATTTATATCATCAACCGTTCGACTCCATTGCCCTGAAAATCCGGAAGTCCCTTTCAAGACCTGCAAGAAATGCGACCTGGGAGTTTCCGAAAATAGGGGACCCTAATATAGCTAAGACCCCCCAAAAAGGTACCCCCATTTTCGGAAACTCCCACCTAACAACCCCCAGCCTTTCGCCGGAGATTTGGTCTTGCCACCAACCTTGCCTTTGGCATCCGAACCTGTGAGTTACCAAGCTTCCGGTTTGTGTACCACAGGCTTGGGCTTTGGGTTCAGGGTTCCAGGGTTTAGGGTTAAAGGTTTAGGGATTTTTACGGTTCAGGTTTCAAGATTACGGCTTTATCCGAGTACTTAAGATCTGTATTCAGGCCCCGGCTTTCTGAAACTCCACCTGAAGGAATCGAAGCTGAAGAAGCCAGAAGTGCAAAGTACTCCTCGCTTGAGAGTGTTACGTCATAAGTCCGGGCCTTACTGGGATATCTATGGTGACCGTAGTTGCTTCTACCTGTTGGAACAACCTACTGACTGTCCCCTGATTATTTCACTAGCTCGCGGTTTCGGTTTAGGGGTCTTGTTCCGACGGCGTCGCGCGCAGGTCCTGTTCTGAAGACTTTATGAACTTAAACCGTTTTGTCTATACTTCAAGGTTGGAGAATTACAGGCTTAGGGACGTATGAAGTCTAAAGGGCTTAGGAGGAATCAATATCGGCTGCGTCATCTATCTCCTATATACCCACTAACATTGTATTTCAAACCAAGCTATGTATGTAGAGGCCCCATTGTGTTGCTAATCTAAAATTAAACGGAGGTGGGAAGCTTCAGGGTGCATAGCCCCAGCCTCCTCTTTGGATTTAGCCGCTAGTTGTCTTCCCTTCTATGTTTGTTGGCCAAAGAGGCTCCATTGCGAACCAACTGGAGCCCTGGACCCTAAACCTTCAAACCCATGACCTTTTGAACCCTAAACCTCAAAAAACCCTACGTAGACCTTTAAGCCCTAAACCTTCCAACCCGAAACCCAGCTTTCGCGAAGTTTGCACACCGGTTCCGTCTTTTCGATTCTCGGGGGCGAGGACACCTAAACTGTCGACCGTGGACTCTTTGCGGTTAGGGTGTAGGGTTTTGGTTTAGGATTCAAGGGCTTGAGGTTTAGGGCTTAGGGTCTTGAGTTTGTGGTTTTCAGGGTTTAGATTCAAGTTTTAGAGCCCTTGAACCCTAAACCCCTCAACCCAAACGTAAAGTCGGCATTGAAAATAAAATCATCGAACCGGTCAGCCCCATACCCCAAACTCAAAACTGGCACCGGTGCCCTCAACCCGAAACCCCTTGAATCCTAGAACCCACACCTGCGTCACCCTAAACCCTAGACCCTAAACCCTAAAGCCGCGTGCCCACCTTTGCCACCGCCCTTCTTGCCGTTCTTGCCAGCCGTGCTGTTTGGGGCCTCGCTGCTTTTTCCAGCCGCCTCTGCGGTCGAAACTTGAGGTGTACCCAGAGAGCCCAAGACCCCTTAATTAACGATTATATACCTTAAATTATAAGGGGACGCATAAGATGATTTAAGCTATACTCCTTAACTAAGGGGCATTGGGCTCTCTGGGTTGAGGTGCAGGTGGCTGGCTTCGAGGTGGAGCTCAGAGTTACAAGATTGCCTGCAAATTGAGGAACAACCCACGACGTCCAAACGCACTGCCATAAACCACCTAACGAAGGCGCCTTTATAGCTTCAAAAAGATTGAAAGTGTTATGTGTAGATTACAATAGAAATATCAAGGAGCTTCAAGGGGATAATGCTGCCACTTTGTTCCGACCCCTCTGTTCTAACACGAAAACTTTAAGAAGGCCAAACATTTTGGAAAGGTTGCAAATGGCTGCATCTCCAAAGTAAATGTAGTACAAACATGAAATGGTGCCGAAGAAGCATGCAGGCATGCATCCGGGAAGGGGGGGGGTTGGGGGGATGTTCCCAGAGAGCCCAATACCACTCAATTAAGGAATATGGCTCAAATCAGAAAGGGTTTAATATTATTATTATGCTTTAAGCTATATTCCTTATTTAGGGGGCATTGGGCTCTCAGGGAAGCTCATACTTGCTGCTCTTTCCTGCACACGTCACTTAGTTAGACATTCGGAATGCGGACTCCCGTAGCAGGATTTGTTTAGGGCTTGCACGGGGTTTCGGCCGTGTTGATCTACAGGGTGTATAGGGGTTTAGGGGTTGGGGGTTCCTTTAAGGGATCTATAACGGGTTTCACTAGGGTTCTATATTCTAAGGGGTCCATAGTCCTGATCGACTTGAGGTAGGGCTGTAGGGTTTAACCGGGTTTAGGTCTCTGGTCGGGCTGCAGGGCGTCAGGGTCCCTAGGGGTCCGAGTGATCGGCTTAGGGTTTAGGGTTTAGGGGTTTAGGGTTTAGGGGCAAACCCTAAAATCTAAGGGCAATCCTTATGTATGGTTTTTGGTGCCCAAAAACAGTGGGAGAACTTGGGAGTGCCAGGGTCGGGCATTGGCGGGTACTTAAAGGATCATGGGACTTAGTAACTAGGGTTTTAATTAGGTTGACTAGACTTATAACCACTTAAAATGCCGAATAAGGTACTTATAACCTTACTTACACAGTCCCCTGATCATGATCCTCCAAGTTAGCGGGTAGGGGGAAGGTTCTGGAAGTGTTGGGGCTCAGGGTGTTTTAAGGATCGGGGGCTGCTCTCATCCACAGAAACGGCCCTCGGTTCTAGGAACGAGGGGCTGTAGGGCTTTGGGTGGTCGGCGTATTTTAGGGTTCAGGATACAAGTTTTAGCAGTGTTGTTAAGGTTCAGGGCTGAGGGATTTACGGGTTTCTGCTTAGGGTGTAGACTTAAGTGATGGGTTGCTGAGGGTTTAGATCTTCCAGGCAAAAGTGTTCAGAGTTCTGCGGCTTGCAGTTTCAGTCTACGGTTTCAGCGACTGTGGCTTCCGGCATCTCGTTCACCGCTGAGCGAGTCGGAAAGCCTCAAAGCGACCTCGATGTGCCCTCAGACCAACCAACCTCCCGCTGGTCCATGAGTTGCTTTGGTGGAGATTATGGTCCATGGCGAAGTACAGTCTTCAGCATCGCCGCCACCCGGACCAGGGTCATGGTCTCCCCCGGAACCGAATCCGCTGGTCGCAGCGAAGACCTCGCTTGCCCGACTTGGCCACGCATACCGGCAGGGCTTGGTCCGAAAAGATGTGTCCATGCGGCCCTTTCAATTTCTTCTCCGCACCATCTGTGCTCCACATTTCGTGCAGGGTTGAAGGCTTTGGTTAAGAGCTCTAGTAATTGGAAAAGGACTTTGGGTCAGATGATAGTATACTTATACTACGGTACCCGATGAAGTAATGCTGGCAATGATGCAGCATTTATAGTACCCCCTAAGTCTTTATAGAGCCGTATCATGCCGTAATTAAACCTTATAGAACGCTTACAAATCATTTATAGGACGCCTATACCCTATCAAACATGAGGGTTTAGGGTAAGAGGTGCAGGGATCCTCGTTATTGCTTAGCTTACTCGTACGCTTAGTATACACTATTCTACCAATACGGTTCTTGTTCTTGACCTTCTTATGACTAAAAACCCTAACCCCTAAACCCTAAACCCTAACTCTAAACCCTAAACCCTAAACTCTCAACCCTAAACTCTCAACCCTAAACCCTAAACTCTCAACCCTAAACCCTAAACTATAAACCCTAAACCCTACTAAGGCCTCGTTTTTTCATGGTTTGGGCTCAGACCTCGGGTTCGGGGGGGGGGAAATCCACCAAAACCTGATCGAGGAGCCGAGGGCGACATGCGAAAGTCCGAGGGCTTTGGGGCGTTGTGTGCAAGGTCTTGGGGTTTCCCTAAGGCTCCTGGACCAAAGCCCAAACCCTTAGCCAGAAAGGTCATGACCCTCTTAGGAGCCTTAGGGTTAGGGTTTATCGGGTTTAGACCAGATTCAGGCTTAGATGAACTGTATAAACCACAAAACCCATCCCTCTTGAACCCTTCCCCCCCCCCCCGACACATACGCACACAAACAAACAAACAGGCTCAGAATGTAAATTTAGACATCTGGCCAATAAACAAGCCTTCCCTTAAAGAGGATCTCCCGTGTGTAACGAAAGGCATGTCAGAGGGATGATTGTGAAGAGTAGCCTTCCGTGATCATTATACGTGTAGTTGTCAAAACTATGGTTTCTTCTTGGTTACCCTACATACTAGGTGCCGTATAATCTTAAGGACCCCAAAATCCACCATAATTCTGACAACCACCCGTATGAAAAAGGGACCATAATGTTGACAACCACCCTAAAGGGAACTCCAGAAAGTTGGAATATAGTCTCAGGGTAGGATACCCTATAATTTACCATAAAGGGTTTAGGATAATCATATTCCAACTGTCTGGCTTTTACTTTAAGATGATTCGTCCGCCCTAAACCCTAAACCCTAAACCCCTTTGAATCGCTAAGATGATTCGTCCGCCTTGCCCTTGGCTGCTACCTGGCACAGCCAGAGCCGGGCTTGCTTCAAAGATCAGTTCAAGGGGGCTTCCCAGAGAGCCCAATACCCCTTAATCAAGGAATATGGCTTAAATTATATAGGGCTTCATATTATGATTTAAGCTACATTCCTTAATTAAGGGGTATTGGGCTCTCTGGGTTCGTAAGTAAGTCTATTTGGGAGTTTCCGCAAATTAGGGGTACGTTACTTTGGGGTCCTTATAATATAAGGATCCCACTATTTAGGGTACTATACTAGGGTCCCCTATTTTCGGAAACTCCCACTTAGAGGCCCAGGGGACTTAAGTACTTAAGGGTTCCTTCAAAGGGATCTTTTAAGGGATTCTATAAGGGTTCTAAGTGGAGTACTTATTGGCCCAGGGAACTTAGTAAGTAGGTTATAAGTAGGGGTCATCCGTACCCTAAATGGAGGTACCCCAGTTATCACCCTACTTACAACCGACTTACTAAGTACCCTGGGCCTCGAAGTACCTGAGGTTACAATTCTAATAGCCCACAAGGCCCCAAAGCCTACACCATCGGTGTAGTTAGCTGAAAAAGGAGTTTACTCCGAGTCCCCTTCAGGCACTGCTTCCATCTTCGGGTCCGGCATATGTCTTTGACATATTGGTGAAAGCTTCGGGCGTAGGGTAAAAGAGGTGGTTTCGGTCCTCAAATGGGTAGTTCTCTATACCAGGTTCCCTTTTCGGGTCAGTTTATTCGGGTGCCGTACGATGTGCTGGGGACCAAGAAAAGGACCCTAATTTAGAGAACTACCCATTAGTAGCCCCTAAATCTTAGGGGTTGAGTACCCTGGCCCCAAACAGGTTTAACCTTTTGAATTATAGTAGCATCATATAAGCCCCAAAAGGTTAAAGGTTACCTACTCAGCCCCTAAGAAATGAAAGCCGAGTCCTGAACACCATGAGACCCCCCTAAGACTCCAGTATCCCTTAATTAAGGAATATTCCTTAAATCATATTAAGGATCCTACTATATAATTTAATCGGTATACTCCTGAATTAAGGGGTATTGGAGTCTCTATGCCTAAATCCGGACTAACTTTTAAGTGAAGCGATCCAGGGGCCTTAAAACCTTACCTGGACCCGAAGGAACCTTGATTTTTAGGGTTCCTTAATGTGATTTCCTAATATGAGTCCTAGAAAAGGGTAGGTAATTTGGGGTCCAGGTAGACCCAAAACCCTAAACCAGGGTTTTGAAGCTTCCAGCTGTGGCTTAAGCCAGAATTTCCTAGAATGCTTCCAACCTTGCAGCTTCCAAACTCAGATACCCTCAGCCCAAGTTTACATGAGGTCGAGTTGAAGAGGTAAGGTTGGGTCCTGGAACTGGGCACAAAGCTAAACCGTAAACCCCAGAACCTACTTGGAGAGGCAGGGGACTTAGTAAGTCGTTTATAAGTAGCGTTATAATTGGGGTAACTCCATTTAGGGTACTTATAACTCTACTTATAACCTACTTACTAAGTCCCCTGCCCCTCCATGTAAACCCAACACCCTATATAACTAAGCCCACATTTCTCCGCGATCGCAGGCTACCCGCTGCGTTCTGCCGCCGGCTCGGCACAGACGATGCGAGAGTTGGGACCTCAAGAGGTTAAGGGCTAAGGGCAAACGAAAATGGGGCCTTACGTAATGGTTCGAATAAGGTTTTGGGGGTTCATGACAGTAGACTTACAACCAGAAAGCTTCTGAATCAGCGTTGAGGTTGAGGGCAAGCTAATCTAGGGGCCTTAGAAGAGGTTTCTGGGGTACATTGTTGTATACGTATAAACCCAGAAGCTATTGAATGATGTTTCAAAACATTCTGGCCTCTACACGTACAGAAGTGCTCGGAAAATCGGGTTGAATCGCCCCATAGACCCCTAACACCCGAAAACCTTTGAGCCCTAAACTCTGAACGCTTAAACGAACCCAAACGTTAACAGCCTCTTGCCCTGATTGCCTCCCAACATTAACAGGCAAACCCACAGAGCCCAGTACCAAGACACTCTAGGAAATAGATCATACTGCTTCGAGTTTCTCATTCAGATCTAATAGAATTTTGTCATGGTCCTCAAGCTCAAACCGCTGTAGCACTATGGCAGCTTCCTTGCTTGCAGGGTTTTGGGCTGCCTGCGCCTGCGGTCCCTCCGAGAAAAACTGAACCATCACGTAACCCCTGAACTGCCAAGTGACGCAAGCGTGCGATAAGCGGGTGCGGCCCTATATTCCTAAAGCCAAAGGCGCACCCATCGCGCGCACACTGCATACACACCCTACACCCTAAACCCCTAAATGAAGCCGAAATCCTAAACCCTTAACCCTAAAGCCTAAGCAGCATGAACCCTAGACCCTGAACCCTAAGCCCCAAAACCCCGAAGCCCAAACCCTAAACCCCAAACCCTTACAAACCCTAAACCCCAAGCCCTTGCAAACCCTTAACCCCAAACCCTAAATTCCGAAACCCTTACAACCCCCAAACCCAAATACACCATAATGAGTATATAGGTACCCTAAACCCGAAACCCCAAACCCTTAGAAACCCCAAAAGCCCCCCGAGGTCCCGGCTGCGGCGGGGCGCTGCTGGCTTGGGATCCGCCGGGAGGTCTTCCTGATCGGCCTGGGATCCCAAAAAGCGGTCCTAAGATCCGATCTTAAGGGTTCCTTTAAGGGCTCCTCTAAGGGCTCCTTTAAGGGTTTTTTTTTTCTGGGCCAAAGTCCCTTGCCTTCTTAGGCGGAAAAAAGTGAGACCGTGGGCACGAGGGGCGGCTTAAAATTGGCGGGTTCTGGCGTTTTCGAAAATGCGTTGGTTTTGCTCACCTGAAGAAACATATTGAGTCGGAGGATTGGAAACCTTATTTTCCCAAATATATTTGTTAGTGTACACTAACCAATTCTGTCTCGGTCCTCCGACCCTCCTTTTGCCAATCTCGAACGTGTTCGCGGAGTTGGGCTTATAGCTAACTTGCCTTAAGGGGTCCTCCTCACTGGTTCTTAGAATATGGCCAGCTAGCTTAATACGCTTTTCTCGAACCAACTCCGAAAACAGTTTGATTTCTTTGCTGCTGGGTTTGTACTTCTTCATTTCCTCATTCGCTTTCCTCAATACAGATTCATTTGTATTTGCGCGGTTCACATAAGTACTATCTATCCCTAGGATCCTTCTAATTCCTCTCAATTGAAATGCATTTATTTTCTTCTGCATCGATTGCGTTAGATGCACAGTTTCCAGGCCATATAGTAGTTTGTTTCTGATGATGGCATCATAAACATGTAGTTTTCAGTGTGCCGGGCACTGCACAGCCTTCCAAAAACTAGTTGGCTTATACCAAATTTTTAAAGTATCATGCATTTTGTGGTTGATTTCATGTCTTATATCAACAGCTTGTGTGATTTGATGTCCTAAATACGTGGCTTCGTTTACTCTTTTCAACCTGGTACCATCAGCAAATTTGACGACATTGTGACCGTTCATAGCTACGTAACAACATTTCTCCCGATTAAGACGTAATCCGAATTGCGCAGACACCGCTTCTACTTCGCGTAATAAATTATTGGCAGCCTGTGTGTTGGTACTGATGAGTAAAGTGTCGTCCGCATAGTAAACTCTATCGAAATCTACTCCGTCAAATCTAGAATTCACCGTGCGCTGATTTATATTACAGCTGATGTCGTTGTCTATAACGGACATTACTAACACTTTCTTTAAGGGCTCCTTTAAGGCTCCTCTAAGGGCTCCTTCAAGGGCTCCTCAAAGGGATCCTTTGAGGGTTTAGGGCCTGGGATCCTCAAGGGTTTGGCGGCTTAGGGCGTTTTGGCCTTAGGGTTTAGGGGGTTAGGGGCTTATTAGGGCTTTGGGGTTTAGAGTTTAGGGAAATGTTTGGGGTTTAGGGTAAGGTACATAGGGTTTAGGGCCTTAGGGCTCAAGGTACCTATATACTTATCATGGGCTCCTTGCAGGGCTCCTTTAAGGCTTTAGGGTTGAGAGTCCCTTTCAAGCTTCTGAAGTACCCTATGTGGAGACTCCCCCAACCCCTCAAAGTTACGGTATATATGGGCGGTTGTCAAAATGATGGTCCCTTTTTGGGATCCTTACTATAATACGGCACCTAATATTTAGGGTACCCAAAAAGGGGTCATAATTTTGACAACTATACATATGTACTTTAGATTCTGACAAGAACACCTATAAGAGTTAGGTTGGACTCCGAATTATGAAGGATTAGACCTAAGATGCTAACAGGAACACTGGTAAGTTGAAAATTCACTTAGGGTATCTTCTGTGATCAAGGGGTTTTTGGGGTCTCTGGCCTGCCCATATTGGGGTTGAGGGGCTTAAGGTGTGGGGGTTTAAGGGTTTTGGGTTTAGAGTTACGCCCGTAGGGGCTAGGCTCCCGGATGTAGGGTTTTGGGTTTAAGGTGTTTAAGGGTTTAAAGGAACTCTTAAGGGATCCATTAATTACCGCTTACTACCCAACAAGCCATAGAAATAAAAGACTAAACTTTCCAGTTCCTACTAAACTACGAGAACCCACAAAGGTTAAAGGCTGGGTATGGGGATCTGGGAGCTTCCGAGACCAGGGGATCCTACTATAGTACCCTAAAAATTGCGATCCTGATTATTATATTTCGAAACTCCCATCTATGAACAGGAACTCCAAAAGCCCCGAAACGGAACCGACGAGAGCCTTCGTCTCCTCCGACCGCTTGGTGGCCGCGGCCTCGCGAGCCTGCGCCCGCCGCGCCTTTCAGCAGAAGATAGTCCTAAGAACGAATTGAACTCTAAATGGAAGGCTCATATACCATAAAGGAATTTGTAATTAGTGTAAGCGTATTGGGCTCCAGCTTAGAACGGTCTTTTAGTTTTCAAGGGTATCGCAGCTTTAAGGGCTCCTTGTTCAACTTTCAGGATCTCAAGAATGGCTAGGATAGAGCTTTGGGGTAGGCTTTGCTACTTTTATATCGGACCTATAAGGGCTTTTTGTTGCGGTTTCCGGGATTCGGCCTCAATGCTGGGATTGAACGATAGGTTGCCTCCTTGTGCAGAGCTTGGGGCAAGGGGGGAGAGGTTTCGAGTTCATGTGTCAGGGGAGATAGCTCGGAGGCTCCAAGTAGCATTGGGGCATGTTAGATATGTTAAGGCTATGAGTGGCCTAAGCCCCCAACTCTGAGTGCTAAACCCGAATCCATGAGCCCGATCGTACTTCTAACCTACTGTTGACCTCCAAGCGCGCAAAACCCAAAACCCTGAGACAGTAAATCCTAAACTTATAACTCCTGATTGTAGACTTTAGAACCCTCTCTGGAATCCTTCCAGAAGCCTCTCATTACAGAACCCCTTTCTAGAACTCGTTATTTGTCTATAACCTCCTGGTCGAACCCTTCACAAAGACCCACCGGACAAGAAATCCCACAGTGAGCAAGTGCCTTCTGCTGCGCTTCCTCCAACTCTTCGAAGAAGTCGACCACGCCCCTTTGGGCTGTTTTTGGCGTTTTAGCGGTCAGGGGTTTAGGGTCTATACTCGGTCGATGCAGGGCTTGGGGCTAGTTTAGGGTTTTACCTATAATCTCTATGCCATTGTAGTTCCTTTTGATGTTGAATCAATTATATAGTAAGGATCCTATAAGTTAACCCCAAAAAAGGAACTGCAATGGAGACGATAGGTAGAGTAGGAAGTTCCTGAACATCTTTGGGGTTCTCAGAACCTTCGCATTTCGTTGATAGATGCCAAGGTTTAATAAGGGCTTTCACCAATGCCCCCATGCACTTCAGGAATACTTAGGGGTTGAATAAATACCCAGACCAAAAAAGGTTGACCTTTTGAATTTTGGATTGCATAAACCCCACAGATTACAGGTCAAATGCTCAGCTTCTCAGGGAGAAGAACGCAGAGGGAACCCCAGCACTTCACCACTCAGACGGAGCTTTGTGTGCTGCGTCCAGTCTGGCACAACAAACCCTTCACCAATGCTAAAACCTATTGGAGAACCCTGAACCCTTCTGCCCCAAACCACTAAACCCTAAACCCCTAAACCAGGCAGTTGAAAGCCAAAGAGTAAAGATTTCAGGTCATTCCTAGGGCTCTTAGATTCCCTTGAGTATTCGCTTGAGGGTTTAGGGTTTAGGGCTTTCGATTTAAATGTAATGGGCTGAGGCTTCTCACGTCTGGGCCAGGAATATCAGTTACTTGCATTCCCAGAACAACACCCTCAAAGTAGACACTTGTATTCCAAAGGAGCTCGTAAGCCACTCAAGAACACCCTAGCCCTAGCCTGGACCCTACTTTCGTTGGACCCGAACTCCACTAGAACCTCGTTATAAGAAAAATTAACACAATTCTACGCACCCTGAACGCAACGTCAACGCTGCCAAGTCCGTTGAAAACATCCAATAAAGCCCTACCCCAAAACCGAAATCCTAAACCCTGTATGAACCATTCACGTACTTCACCCTGAGTCGTAAACCCTAAAACCCTGCACCCCCACTTCATATGAAACTCTCCAGTCCAGACTATCCCCCACTAAGTGCTCGCGCCTCTCCGGATGGTCCTGGGGAAGAGAGTGTCCAGGACTTTGGGGCTTAGGGCGGAGTTTCTGTGGATCTGTTTGTACCGAATCTTCCCGGATTCTTTCGGGACGTTTTGGAATTCTGCTCTCGACATCTCCTTCACCCCTTTTGTCACTGAAGCCCAAAACCGCGAGACCCGGGGACTCCGAGTAGTTAAGCAAGGCCTTGGGCTTTGGAGTTTAGGCAGCCTTGTCCTTTTTCATGGTTCCCCCATAAGAATAAACAGACCGGCTAGTAGACCTTCTTAAATAATTCCTACTAAGGGATATAGGTATAGGGCTCTGTCTATTACTTCTAAAAGGACAACGGTGAGTTTAGGGTTCTAGTTTGGGTGCTGCTTCCATAACAGTAACAGTCTGTAATTAATAGGGCTACTATTAAGGTCCTATATAATGTATCTATGTTATGAATAGTCTTCAGCTGCTACCGAGTTGGGGCAGTACCCAAGTTCTAGTTTTGGATGGGCAGAGAGCGGCTGCACCATTCCGAATAAAAGCTGTGCGACCGGGTTTCAGCTTGACCTGTCGGGTTTGGAGCCTAAATCTAGACCCTAAGCCCTGAACCCAACCCAGAGACTCCAACATCCCTGAATTGCAATATCCTTTTGAAGCCTCTGGGAACCTACTTAGAGGCCGATGGGACTTAGTAAGCCGGTCGATGTCGGTCGTAAGTAGGGTTGCAACTGGGGTAACTCCATTTAGAGTACTTGTAACTCTACTTATAACCTACTTACTAAGTCTCTTGGTCCTCTGAATATTGTGTAGAACCCTTAAAGAATCCTTGCGTAATCCCTGAAAGGAGCCCTTTAAAGGAACCCTTCAATCCCTTGGGCTGCTATGGTAAACTCCACAAACTTGGAAACCAATTACGGACAAATCGTGAAGGGATTCCCTGTACTTTGCTCCTAGGGATTGAGGCTTTCGGGTTTCCGACTTGTAGGCTTCTCTAGGAGGGGCTTTTAAAGCCTTTGAAAAATATTAGTAGGTAAGATCCTTTTAAGCCGAATAAGAGACAATATAAAATGTCCCAAAGCCCTACCTAGTTCTGCTGTAGAGCCCGGAACCCTCGCCCAGACTGGTCCTCGTTTCTCAGCCGCAGGTTTTCGTCTAAGGCCTCGCGATCCTGGATGAGAAGGGGCCCGAGTATAGACCCGGCAAAGTAGAATGACGGTCTACATGGTTCAAGTTTGAGGGTTTAAGAGCCGACTATAGACCCTGCACACTAGAATGAGGGTCTATATGGTTTAGGTTTGAGGGTTTAGGAGCCGATCCTCAAGATCGATAGAGGGCGCACAGAACTTTTCACAAACCCCCATCCTGGATTCGGGCTGATAGCCTTTAGCGGACAGTTGGTCACCTGTAGCTGAAAGTTGAGCAGGGTTCAGCCTGCACACTTATCCTGAAAGGCCTGAGACACACCCGATGCTTCTTCAATCCTAACACCTCCACCACCAGCCAAACATCGATATAAGTACATAGGGGAATAAACACACCAACGATCGGGGCCCCCATGTTGAGAGCATAAATTTGACACCCTAAACCCTATAGTCTATAAAGCCTAAACCTTACTTAAGCCTTAACCCTACGCCCCAAACCCTAAGAGCTAAACCCTAAAGCCTCATCCTAGGCTCTTGGGGGTTCGACCAGAGCGTGCAAGACCCCCAAGTACGGAATATACCGCAACTCGCATTAAGGGTCGAGTGTTAAAGCAATTGAATTCTGAATGTCAAGACAGCCACAGCTGATGCTAAGGGCTTTGATTCAAGGTTTAGGGTTTGTAGGGTTTAGGGCTTTGGAGTTGAGGGTTTAGGGCATGTGTGTCCTGAGTCACATGACGATACAAAGACCACCTTCCTGAATGAACACAGAACGTGATAATATAGGGTCTCAGTAATGAAAGGATGTTTTGTGGTTAATGAGGACCCTGCAAATTACTGGCAATAATTAACCCTGTACTACACCTGATAGGCTGCGAATGCAGAATCTGCCGTGTCCTTCAGATTCTCATGCACGGCTTTCGCCTGCTCTTTCAGCCTGGAACCAAATCTGGGGTCGGCCCAAGTACAAGGGGAATACAATCTGTTGTGATGTTGTCTGGGAGTGAGGGGGCCTACGGTTGTTTAACTTCATCACTCATATTTAATCTTCTGACATATTGGCAGAGACAGGAACATGCCCGACTTCTCTTCATGGTCTGAATGCTAATTCCTGGACCCCAGACGCCCGCCCCGGAGCCCTAAAGCGCTCATCCGTAGGCCCCGAGGCCTCCAAAGCCCCAAAACCGTTCAGACAGGACGCTTCTCGCTGGCATCGGGGAAATAGAAGAAGAGGTTGCCGTTCTGACGCCTTCGGAGTGCTTTGACGTCTTGTGTATATAGGGGCCTGAATAGGCAGAACAAGGTTTTGGGGTATGAGTAAGGAACCCTAAAATGGTATTGTGTAAGTCTTTGGGATTAAGGGCTTGGGGTTTTGCCGACACCCCGACATTTCCGGGCTACAGGCTCCGGTCCGTCCTCTGTTGTTTTTGGCGGGTTCGAGCGGTTGGGATTTCAAGGTTTAGTGCCTACCCTCAGGCTAAAACTGACTCAAAGCCTTAGTTAGACTGGCTCTGTGCCCAAGTGTAAGTCGTTAGAGGCTGGGTGCTTAGAGTTTGGGTTTAGGGCCTTTTGAACATGGGGTTCGCAATTACCTCTGTGGGCTCCAAGGCTATCCATTGAAGAAGCCCTAAACTCGAAACCCCTAAAGTAAAAGCCAGAAAGTTGGAATATGATTATCGTAACCCCGTTAAGGTATGTTATAGGGGATCCTACCCTGAAACCATATTCCAACTTTGTGGAGTTCCCTTGAAACCCTAAACCGCGAAGTCCGAAACCCTAAACCCGGTCCTCTGTAGGCTCTTGGGTTTGGGGGTCCAAAAGGGAGGCTGTCAAAGGCATACTAATCGATTTGTCTGCTTGGAGAGCGCCTGAGAAGAACAACCCCGAATCAACTCGAACCGAGGCCGACAGCAGATAAGTTTTGTACACGGGGAGGGGGATTCGCCCTCTCACTGTTCCTCGTCAATCTTCCGGTATGGACCCTAAGCCTGACCTAAGTTAGAGCTACCCACACGCAAACAAGTGAGGGAAATCTAGGGTTCTTAAGGCTTCAGCATTACGGGGCATGGGACCGAACCTGCACAACACTAGGAGGCAGCAGAACCTGCAAAGCATGCAAATCACATTCCGATACCCAAAAGTCCCCTGAAAACACTGCAACACAAAACAAGACCTATCACACTTTCAGAGAACTACAGTGTCAGCAGGAGCCCAAACCACTTTTGGGGGTCCGGGCGATTCACGTGCCAAGCTGACCAGCCTGATCCACAGGACCAAATGTCATCATGGTATATAATAGCATCTTTCCTTTTCCTGCTCGCCACTTGTGCTTGTACGATTGCACAGCAGAAGAGGCAAGGCCAGAGATAGGAACGTCAATGCATGTGCTCTAAGCCCTAAACCCTAAACCCTATTGAGGGTAATGCAGGGGCCTCAATAACTAGAGTAGGGCTTTGAGGCAGAGCTAGAATAGTACTGTGATAAGTCCTGTGGAAAAACATTTGCAACTGTTTGGGAGGATGTGGAGTTTAGGAGTACAGGGTATACGGCTTAGGGATTTAGGGTTTGCGTTTTGTTCAGGGCATAGGGCTCGGGGGTATAGGGCTTCCAGTATAGGGGTTGGAGAACCTCGTAGGATTTTAAGATCTTGGCGTTGCTGCTGATTGAACACTGCTTGGTGGTTCTTTCGTTTTCCAGCGCTTGTTCCTATATATATATATATATATATACACGGTTCCATCACGGTTGTTGCTGTTGATCTGTAAGGCTTGGGTTTAGGATTAGGGTCGAGGCGTCAAACTAGGGGTTGTGGGTCGCTGGTGTAGCCCCGAAACCTTTCAAAACCCCATATAAAGCACAAACACAACCTGGGAGACCATGCAAACACGAACAAAGACACAAGTATTATCCTGGTAAGTTTCTGGGTTTGGGAGGGAGGTCAAGAAGAGCTCAGTTAACATTTTTGGCTATCGCAGTCATGATTGCTGAAACATTGAAGACAACCGAAATAAACATATGTGTCTTCGTGTGTCTCGCACTTGGGCAGGTTCTCTGCATGTAGAGGTCGGGCTTATGTGATGCCTAATTGAAGCAGGGAGTGAGCTAGTGTGCAAACAGGTTTCCCCATTTGTATCTTCCTGAACATGCATCTACATCAAGTGTTCCACCTAGGGTGCAGGGTTGGGGGCTTAGGGTAGAATACCACAAGGGTGCCCTCTCGAGTTTACAAGGGCTTTAAGGCGTTATACAAGGGTGTTGTGGTATGGCTCTTAAATTCCGCAACAAGAATGCCGGCGAGCCACCTTTCGTGGTCCGCCTCGCCCATGTTGCTGGGATCCGGGGCCTACTCGCAAGGACTGATCGGCGGAATTATGGGTTTAAGGGTTCCTTGACTTCATGGCGGCCTGCTACAGGGTTTGAGATTTTGCGAAACCACTTTTCCGCAATTTCTTTATACATCTACATGTACATGTACACTTACATATGCGTATACATATACATATACATATACAGATACAAATGCAAATACATATACATATACATATACATATATACATGTAGACGTACATGAACATGTACATAGACACAGTCATAGATGTTGAAATAGACATACAGACATATGTGTTTACATGTGTATAATATGTGTGTGCAGATGTACACATGCGTGTGTTCGTCTCTGTGTTATCCCTACCCCAGGGTTTAGGAGGTTGAGGGTATCGGGTGCAAGGCTGTTTACTTGTCTTGCATTACACGGCTACCAACATGCGAACTCTAAACGGGAACCTTCATTCGGTCTCAGCTTGGTTTGTGTCTGCGCAGACAAATCATCAGCGGGCTCCAGTGTATTGGAGTTTCCCGAAGTATAACTTCCGACTCCACGCCAAACTCCAAGCCCTACAGCCCAACACCCCTGCAAGATATTCGCTCCCACCCACCCCCTCCCGCCACGCCACCCAAATTCCCCAAACTCTACCCAGAGCATCCCAAAACCTCCAAAACCCCTAAGGAATAGACTTTAACAAATCATGGATCTTGAGGTGCTTTAAGGTCTAATCCTCAACTAAGGGGTTTTGGAGGCTCTGGGTAAGCCTCCAAGATCCTGATCTCTCTCAAGATCCGAAACTCCTGAGCCCCCAAAGCCACCGCCAACACCCAAACCCCACGCATGCCCTAAGCTCCACGGGCCCTAAACCTCTCACGAAACCCTAGCCCAGAACAATCCTCATAATTACCCTCGCAAAAGGCAAACAAACCGAAACCCTGAACCCAAACCCTACCTTGAACTATAAACCTCTGTAGATCCTTTATAGCTACATTTAAAGATCCCGTAAATCCCTGAATGGAAACCTAGAGGCTCCATATATACTACCATTATGGAACTACGTAGGGGACTCCACTATAGTACTCTATAAGGTAGGATCCTTATTATAAGGATCTAATTCCATAATGGTAGTTAAACCCTAAACCCTAAACCCTAAACAAGTAGTATATATGGAGCCTTTGGGAAACCCTGAGCACCTCGGCCTCCCGAGCATGGCTTTGGGGTTCCGGCCGCTTGGCGCCAGCGGCCTGCGAAACTTCGAGGGGCGTCTCTGGGTGCAGGGTTTAGGATGTCGGGGTTAGGGGTTTAGGGTTTAGGGTTTAGGGTTTAGGGTTTAGGGTTTAGGGTTTAGGGTTTAGGGTTTAGGATGTCGGGGTTACTTGGAGGCCCAGGGGACTTAGTAAGTTGGTTATAAGCAGGGTTATAAGTGGGGTAACTCCAATTAGGGGACTTATAACTCTACTTATAACCTACTTACTAAGTCTTCTGGGCCTCTAAGTAGGGGTTTAGGGTCCTACACCGGGCTTAGGCTCAGGGTGTAGGGTTTAGGATGTCGGGGTTAGGGTTTAGGGTCCTAAATCCCAAACCCGTATAGGGCTTAGGCTCAGGGTGTAGGGTTTAGGATCTAGGGGGGGCCTTAATGCCTGTAATTTAGGGTTTAGGGTTTACGGGAGGGTAGGGGGGCCTGAATGCCTAGAATTTAAGGTTGAGGGTGTAGGGGGGGTAGGGGTTTAGGGGTTCGGGGTCCTAAATCCTAAACCCGTATGCCTTAGGGACTTCGGCCTTCGACTCAGATTCCCAGGTCTAGGAGTCTGTCGCCTTTCAAGGACCATAAGGCTTCTGTTGAGGAGGTACTTGGGGGGTCCTGGTAGATCCTAAGCCCTACAACCCTAAACCCCCCAAAGCCCCTAAACCATAAATCCCCCTAATCCCCTAAAACCCTACAAAAGGATCCTTACAGGATCCCTTTAAAGGAACCCTGTAAGGAGCCTTTAAAGGAATCTCATACTGCTGATGGACAAAATCCTGCATGACCCATTATACGGAGTATACCATAGTTCCCATAATTTAGGGTCCTTAGGGTCATGCAGGATTTTGTCCATCAGCAGTATGTACAGGATCCAGACTGACAATACTAAGGCCCCAAAGTAGTTCGTTTTCGAAGTTCATGTCATCTATCGAATCCTATATGGTAATTCTAGAACCCCAGAAAATCGCCACAAGCGGCACCTGCCTGGAAGGCCGCCTCACGATTCGCGCGCTCGAGGCGCCTGCGCCGGAGGTTCGCAGCCCAAAATCTGAAGGCACTCCCGGGCTCCTTAAAGAAAGGCTTTATGAAGAAGAACGGCTCCTTAAAGAAAGGCTCAATTATGAAGAACGGCTCCTTAAAGAAGGACTCCTTAAAGAAAGGCTCAATAAAGAAAGGCGCCTTAAAGAAAGGCTTTTATAAAGACGGGCTCTATAAAGAAAGGCTCTAATTATGAAGAAAGGCTTTAGAAAAAGCTTAAGGTTTGTAGGGTTTGGGATTTAGGTGTCGTCCTTGCGCAGGGGCCATGCTAATCCTCTCTGTATCGTTCCAAAGGCTTTACGCGTCTTTACAAGAGGTTTCGTATGGCTTCATAGAGTGTATCCCTTAGGCTCTATAAGGACTCATACTTTAAGGCTTTTGGGGCCAAAGACCATACTATATAAGGCGTTTGGGCTATTTTGAGCCTTAGGGTATAGGGGTTTTTAGGAGGACATAGCTCCATGGATAAAGGTTCTATACCCCCAAGGGCCCTTCAATAGAGCACTTCGGTTCCTCACTGTGTGCTGGGTATTTAGGACATTAGACGGTAGGGGTCTCACAAGGATTGTGTGTGGTTGCATAGTATGTGATTTGGCAAGGCCTAAGGGTGTTATATGGTTTCGCTCACAGACATCAACATTCGGATTGGACGGGCGTTAGGGCTTAGGCGCCTAGCGAGTGTTTGAAGGCTGGTACGGAAAGAACCCCGAAAGCATTGCATCCAACCAAGAATGTCCCTTCAAGCCCTAGAGCTTGAATCCTCACCCGGCACAGGGGCTGC